ACACACACACACACACACACACACACACACACACACACACACATGTTCTTTCTCCGATTTTTTCTGTCGTTTTTGTGTGGCGAACTGAGCACCTTTAAGCAGTGCCAAATAGTTGGTCATTCTTTGTTTGGAGTGCCTGCAGCACTCTTACGGGGGCCACTCAGTTTGGGATGTCTGTCTACCCTACAGGTGATAACGGATGTTCGTCGGAGCGACAACCTGGCTCAGTGGGTGGTGGGAACCAACAGTCTACGGGGTCCACCCGTGATGTGAGTAGGTGATGTGGCGCTTTGCTCCGTGTTGGATGTGTAGACTGCCTCGACTGGGCTCTGCCCCTGCCTTGCTCCCCATCCCGCTTGCTTCGCGTATCGTTCTTAAAAAGCTGCTGCGTCCTCTGTGTGGTGTGGCGGTGGCATTGTTGTTGCTTTGTGCCTCGCTGCTCTGCTGCCTTGCTGCCCATCTGTGTGCTTTGCCTTCCGCGTCTTTTGTTTGTGTGCTGTGAAGTTTGGCTGCCTCACTGGTCTTACCTTGTGCTTCACTGCGCGGTTGCTGTGCTGCTTGTCTGCTTGCCCTGTCTTTCCTTGCAGTTATTTTTGGCGTTGTGCAGTCGTGTTCCCTCGGCGGCATTGCCTGGTGCTTCGCTGAGTTGCTGCTCACTGCTGTGTTCCGTTCGGAGACAGTCTGCCTTCAACATGGGTCAAAGGGTTCATGACCCAAACCATCAGTACGGAGATCCCACATATTGTCGAGGGCTCAGTCTCCTCATGAGTCGGTGCATCTCCCACAATACAATCTATCATCAATTTACTTTTTTCAGTCTTTCGCTTTTGGAACTTGAATCTGTTTTTGGCTGTTGTTCTTCTGGTTTGCTGCTTTTTGGCTTCGTGCTATTCGTCTGCACGCCCGCCTCCCCCATACCGTCCAAGCTATGTCTTTTGCTTCGCTGTCTTTCGTGTCTTACTGCCTTGTTCGTTGGTCTGCCCGCCTGGCTCCCCCATGCCCTCCAGCCTTTGTCCTTGCTGCCCGCTGCTCGTCTGATGCGTCTTTGCTTTCCTGGCCTTTGCATGACCTTTTGTGCGTTTGTCTCATGGGCATGCCAGGTTTCGGGCTCATTTTGAAGTGTTGGTATACCTGTGCTTGCTTTTGGACTCAGCATGCTGCGGCATGGTCGCACGAGTATTGTATCGTAATAAAACACACACGCACACGCACACATGCACACACACACACACACAACAATAAACCCACCATCGCCTCCATCCCCCCGATCTCTCCGCCTCCCACCCTCCCTCCCTCCCCGGCACGCCCTGCCCACCACCAAATTGGGGCCCTTGACACCCCCACCTCCCCCCCTGCAAGCACCCAAATGGCACAAAGCGGCCTGCTGAGACGATGTCCACAGGTAACTTTTGTGCATTTGCGTGAACATGCTCAGGAGTCACGACATATATGCGCAAACGTTCGCGACATGTACGCATGAACGCACAAAAAACACGAGAATGCTAGCAACACGTACACCCGAACATGAGAATGAATCTTCCGCCAGAACAGGGAAAGATATACCACCAATTTTTTTTTTTACTTTTGGGCACGTGGTCAGTAGTGGAACGAGGTCTGATACCTACAGTCGGCATCCTTTACGGAAAAAAATAGATGAGCCGCACAAAAATAAATCAGGTGCATCTTCCAATTACCCTACGGAAGATGCATTCCCATTTTTCACCAAAAACTGGTGATTGCCACGGCGAAGCCCGGTAGCTCACGGCTGTCGACCTTCTCCGAAAAACAAAAAACGAAAAACGAAAAACGAAAAACGAAAAACGAAAATGCTGTGGAAGAGGGACAGAGAAAAACAAAAGCGAACAGAAAAAGCAACCCGCGCATTTGTTGGAGGGGGGAACTGACTTGCACTATCAGTGGACTATACACACAGGGCGCAGAGCTGATCGGGAAAAGAAAAAGAAAAAAACGGCAGCAGAGACGATATTCTGTGAACGAGTTTAGGAGGGGTATAACGAGTGTTAACAGCGAAGTTGAGTGAACCGCGGGCATACTCACACTACCGTCTTCACCCGAATAGAACGCCCAGTCATTATAGCCGTATCTGGTGCAATTTTCAGTCCAGATACAGCTATAATGACCGGGTGTTCTATTCGTGTGATGACGGTAGCACTTTCCTAAATGTATCTCACCCCAATTTGCAGCCTGACCTAGATGAATCTGATAACAATCACGTCCAGAGCTGAGTCGAAAAAGCAGGACACTGTATCAGTGTATCTTTTCCAGCTTCCAAGTGTTTTCCCTCGAGAGGATGTGATTTCAAAGTAGTATGAGAAATCAACCAAGGGGTTCAAACGCCTAGACCAACTGTGCACAAAGCCTTCAGATTATGACAGAAGCAGAGACCTCCTCACCAGAACTCCCTTTCAAACAGCATTCTATCTCTAGGTAGGAATCGATCTGCTGCTTCTGGTGCAGGCAGTACATTTAACAAAAAAAGTGGAAAAAAAAATGGAAACCAGCAATCATGAGGCAACCAATGACCCCCCTCCCCCCCTTACTCTCCTCCAACCCGCATCGCTATCCCGTATCAAATCTGCTCAACCCGCAATCATCGACAGGCAATCTACTGGTTAGCCTTCCCTCCTTCACACCCCCAACCTTCCTCACTCCTCCCTTCCCTCCCGCCCCCCCCATCTTTACTCTCCAACCTGCATCCATATCCAGTATTAAAATCTGCTCAACCCACAATCATCGACAGGCAATCTACTTGCTTGCCTTCCCTCCCTCACACCCCAACCTTCCTCCCTCCTCCCTCCTCCCTTCCCGCCCTCCCCCCTCCTACTTTCCAACCTGCATCCATATCCAGTATCAAAATCTGCTCAACCCACAATCATCGACAGGCAATCTACTTGCTTGCCTTCCCTCCCTCACACCCCAACCTTCCTCCCTCCTCCCTTCCCGCCCTCCCCCCTCCTACTTTCCAGCCTGCATCCATATCCAGTATCAAAATCTGCTCAACCCACAATCATCAACAGGCAATCTACTTGCTTGCCTTCCCTCCCTCACACCCCAACCTTCCTCCCTCCTCCCTCCTCCCTCCTCCCTTCCCTCCCCCTCCCCTCTACTTTCCAACCCGCATCCATATCCAGTATAAAATCTGCTCAACCTGGAATCATCGACAGGCAATCTACTTGCTTGCCTTCCCTCCCTCACACTCACACCCCAACCTTCCTCCCTCCTCCCTCCTCCCTCCTCCCTTCCCTCCCCCCCCTCTTCTACTTTCCAACCCGCATCCATATCCAGTATGAAATCTGCTCAACCCGGAATCATCGACAGGCAATCTACTTGCTTGCCTTCCCTCCCTCACACCCCAACCTTCCTCCCTCCTCCTTTCCCTCCCCCCCCCCTCCCCCCCCCTCCCCCTTCTTTCCACCCTCCCGCTCCCCGCTTCTTTCTCCTCTCTGCATCTGCACAACACTCCAAAAAAAGTGCAGCAGACTGATGCAAATTTCAAGAGTGGGAAAGCCCAGATTAACCAGATGATTTCTCTGTCCTGCCATCACCAAATGAAAAATCGGCGTTCGGAACATCTGATGGAGAAATAAGCCACGCCGTCATGGGTTCGAACTCATGATGGAGAAATAAGCCACGCTTTCGCTTTCACAGGAGTTCGAACTCAGGTGTGCATTTCAAGTTTTTCAACAGCTCAGCAGCAGGGTTGCACCAACTAAGCTCTAACCTAAGCCAGTTGGTTAAAAGTTGCACTCCATTACCAAAACAAATATCCACATTCGGAGCGTCGAATGGAGTAATATTACTAAATATTACTAATAATATACGAATATTACGAATATGACGACTTTTACACTAAGGCAGAGAAGGGGGTCGATGACCCGATGAGAGCCCAAATTGAACAACGATTCGTATCGCCAGAAGTAGGGGTCCGACACAGTAAAAATGCTTGCGGGAATTTAAAAAAAAAAAAAAAAAAAAAGGAGTAGAAATTGTCTGAAGAGATGCAAAGAATCGAAAAGGAAAGCGATAGCAAGGGTGGATGTTGCTTGTTGTGATTGTACAGCCTCTTCTTTCCAATTACACAACCCTTCCCCACATAGTTGCAATCCAACTAAACATCTTGATTGATGATGCTAGTTGGCACCGCTATAATCACTATCTTGATGATGCCAGTTAGCACCGCTACTATAATCATGGTCGCTGCGATGGAATAAGCTTTTTTGGGTAAATTCAACCAACCGCTAGCCTTCCTAAAATGACATCAAAACACTAAAAGACGGAGAGCTTACACACAGAGAAGCACCGCTCCGTTGCAACCTCGTCGTTCGGGAGTAGGCAGAGTGCTTACGTCTGCACGACCATGATCGGATGGAACAAACGCAAAAGCTCAAAGCGCATCTACCAGCCGGCACCACTCACGCGCTCTCCAACTGTTTTGCCGAACGATGGACCTCCGGCACGATACGCGTAAAGATGCTCGATGGCGACCCCTTCCAGCTTCCTTGGGGTCAAACCCAAGTCAGAGAAAGTCAAAGCTGTGCAAAGAAAACAGCAGCAACCCGGATACGAGGAGCGTCAAAGTTGTAGCCATTTGTAAACAGATCATGAGTTCGAATCCCCACAGAACTGTCAAATCTCAAAAAGATCAGTTGGACAGCGCGTCAATTCTCAAAAAGACGAAAATAAAGAGGTGACATAACCCAGAGACTCCCAGACCATTGAGGCTGAATGGTACACATATATCAACCTATTCCCAAACCAATCATCATGAGTTCGAATCCTCATTGCAATCAGACAAATACACCGATGTTAAAACCGCTACTAACCCTGAGCCTCTTTTTCCCCATGGCAGATTTCTGTTGCGCACCGTCTCCCAAAAAAAAACAATCCGCACAGAGCTCTTTGTTTTCCATTTTTCCTTTTGGCCGAGTTCGCCGGCCAAAAAAAAAGTTCATGAGTTCGGACCCCGATCGGAAACCGATGGGAATTAAACGGTAAACCACCCTTACCTCCAAGCCTCTTCGTTTTCCTTTTGGCTGACTTCGCCGACGAAAAAGGCTCGGGAGGAAGAGGTAGGCCAAGCCCCCAAAGAATGCGGATGAAAACCAATTCGTCGCAAAAGCGAGGGGGACAGGACGGTGGTGCTTTAAGGGCTACCCCCTTCAGAAAGTTGGGGGGGGGGGGAGGAGATAGAAAGAAAGGACATAAGAGATAGAACCACCAACAACTCGCACAGAATCAAACAGCATCTCCCACCCACTCAGCCACACCCCCTAAGGTTCCCTGATTGTCTCTCATTTTCCCACCCACCCCAAGCCATCGCATTTCCTTATGTATGTCCTTGAGGTCGAAAAGCAACTGCTGTTGGACTCTCCGAATGACAGCAAGCAGAAAAAAAAGGGGGGCCCGACAACCACAAAGAGCAAGAAGAGCAAGAAGAGCAACAAGAAGAAGAAGAAGAAGAAGAAGAAGAAGAAGAAGAAGAAGAAGAAGAAGAAAGAAGGAGGAGGAGGAGAAGGAGAAGGAGAAAGAAGAAGAAGAAGAAAAAGAAGAAGAAGAAGAAGAAGAAGAAGAANAGAAGAAGAAGAAGAAAAAGAAGAAGAAGAAGAAGAAGAAGAAGAAGAAGAAGAAGAAGGAAGAAGGAGAAGGAAGAAGAAGGAGGAGGAGGAGGAGGAGGAGGAGGAGGAGGAGGAGGAGGAGGAGGAGAAGAAGGAAAGAGGGAAGAGGAAACGAAGAGCGAGGAAAGGAAGAATGAAAGAAGAAACAAAGAAGAGAGAAAGACAGAAGAAGGAAGAAGGAAAGAAGAAGAAGAGGACAAAGAGGCACACGAGGAACAAGAACGAGGAGAAGGGGATACATAAATGCGAAGAGAAAATGCAGCAGAACAGGTAATAGATCACTCACCATCCCCAGAAACGATCTGGTCCTGCTTCAGAGTCTCCAAGTATTCACGAGTCCAGAAAGTGGGACTTGGCAGAGGGATAGGCAGACGGCGCAGCAGCAATTCTCGGGGGGCGGTTACCAGCTGAGGCACAAGAACGAGCACGAGCACATGCAATCAATCACATCACATCACATGGGTTCCCCTGGATGGAAGACAATTACAGAGTTTGAAAAGGCATCTGCAGCTGAACAAGATAGAAGAGGTCCAAAAGGTGTGTGTGTGTGTGTGAGAGAGAGAGAGAGAGAGAGAGAGAGAGAGAGAGAGAGAGAGAGAGAGAGAGAGGTGCCTTCCCCTTGCAAAACCTCAATGCAATACTGCTGGGCATAAGAAAAGGAATTGAAATTATTTGTGCGAGTATGGAATACTATGGATGCTTAGTTGCTTGCATTCTCAGGTCATACTCACACTAGCCCTTTTCTAATTGCATCTGACTGCAATTATGCCCAGATTTAGATGCATCTGACTATAATCAAGTCCGGAGCTCAATCGGAAGTCCTAGTGTGAATACACCCTCGATGGTTCTAAATTTCTCCGAAAACACAATGGAGCAGTACTTAATGTCGAGCAATTTTACACAGCTGTCGTGTTAAAAAAAAAAAAAAAACAACGCCCTTGAGATTTCAATCATTTGAATTCATTTCATCATTGAATTGACCATCCCCAGGTAATTCAGAATTATTTTTTTCTGTCCATCTGACAGTAGCCTGATTCGAACTTGGGTCTGTATTTCAACAGTCCGTGGGTGTACCTACTACTACCAAGTGCGCTAGGCCCACTGGTTGGTCGTGTTTTTTGGAGACGAGAGAACGAGAGAAGCGACCAAAACACTGTTGACCCTATTGGGTAGCAGCAGGGAGCAAAAAGTTAAAAACATGCCTGGGGGCACTTGCCCGGCCTGGCCAAAAAAAAAAAAAAAAAAAAAAAAAAAAAGAGGTGACATAACAAGATGTGAGGCTGGGAATTGGCTTTCAAGTTTCTACTAAGTTTCTACCTAGGCTACAAGAGTGGCCTGGGGGCACTTGGCCGGCCGGGCCAAAAGAAAAAAAATAAAAAATAAAAAATATATATATATATTTTTTAATTTATTTTTTATTTTAAATTAGAATTTCGACGTGACCCTGAGGCAAAAGTTGTTCAGTTTAAGTTTCGGCATAACATAGTTTTTTTTTCGGAATTTGTTTTGTTGCTAGGAGTCTAGGACCTTCCCTAGTTTTTTTTTCGGAATTTGTTTTGTTGCTAGGAGTCTAGGACCTTCCCTGGTCCTTGCACGTCCAGACCATCCGGGAAAATAGGGTGACCCGGGCGGCCCGGCAGGTAGCCTAGCTTTCTAGTAAATTCTACCGTAAGGATTTTTCGTTTTTTGATTTCTCTTATACTTTTCGTGAAAAGATCAGCCCTCAATCTACGACCCTGATTTTTTGAGAATTTTTCATCAAAAAATTTGAGCATGAAAAATTCACCTACGTAGGCGTTTGCCGCTCCCCCCCCCTCCTCTTCTTTCTGGCCAGCGGCAGCTGCACGTCTTGGCTTTCGCATTGTGGCAATTTAGCTAGTGCAACTTAGCGGTTGTGTAAAAACAATGAAAACTGTAGGAAATTTGGCGCTGCTCTCCACAGGAAGCTTTCTCTTTTTTTTTTTTAATCCCCTTTCTCCCCCCCCCTTCTGAAAGCGATTTACAAGGCCCAAGACGCATGGATGGTCCGTCCTGACCAGCCAGACAGACAGCCGAGTCCCCTGTACAGCGATTCAGAAAGCCCCCCCAGAGGCTGACATCAAAGTAATGTCCTCGACGGTCACCGGCACAGGTTTCAATTGCTACCCACCTCGACGGCCACCCGCATCAGAAACAAGTGTGTGTACATACAATGTACATTCAGGACTACAATCTTTCCCCCAAACATAACGCACCATCATCATGACTGTATCTGACCAGAAAAAATGGCGTGTGTACATCATAGTTGTGGCCCATCACGTGCGCCGCACCGCACATGCGCACACGTGCGTGCGCACGTGATGCGGCGCATTTAGAAAATAATTAAAAATATATATATCAGAAAGGGTATCTCGTCATACCCATAAGTGTCCCTCCCTTTTAAAAAGGGTCAGTGCACAGAAAGAGAATAGTTTGGGGCCTCTTCGTACTACTCATTGGTTATATTCTCCTTTCCAAAAAGTACCCTGCAAGTACAGAGTTATGGGTTACGAAATTACCACAAACACACCAGTAGTTGTCTCGTTTCCTCCCCCCCCCCCCTTTTCTTGCGCTCAGTGGCCCTAAGGGCCTCCCTCCACTCATCAGCACGTGCAGAAAAGAAAAACGGATGGCTTGTATGGTTCCAGTTTCTAGGAGAAGATTCATTCTAATTTTGCACATACAGTAGCTGTCTCGGTTTTTTGTTTTTCCTTTTCTTACTTGCGTGCAGTGGCCCTAATGGCCTGGCTCCACTCATCAGCACTTGCAGAAAAGAAAAACGTATGGCCTGTATGGATCCAGTTTGTAGGAGAAGATTCATTCTAGTTTTGCACATTTGGTGAGTAGTGGAGTGAAGCCCTGAAAATCACATGCCGAGTTAGTAAGTCAGTAAGTTAACCCATAACTGCTGAAACACGGACCTGAAATCGAAGCTCAACCATATATATAGCTGGCCTGCTCCCTCCTTACTACGAGAAGAGTGGCGACCCTTCCAATGACCACCCTGTTCCTGCCGAAGGGACCCTTGCCAATTTTTGGCAGGGACCTTTTGAAGTACCGGAGGGGTTGTCTGAATAATGTGAAAGGGCTCTGTGCTCTCTCTCTCTCTCTCTCTCTCTCTCTCTCTCTCCAGCGTGTATACACACATCACGGTTGGTTGGTTCTTTTTTTTTTTTTTTTTTTTTTTNAAGGCCGAGGATGTCTATCACCTATTTGCCCATACACCGGGGCAACCCCTGAAGGTGAGGCCCTTCTTCATAGAGGCTCCACTGTATTTTGCCTTGTTTCATGTCTATGTTCATCCCCTGTTGGAGGAGTGCCTTTGGACGAGAAAGTGAAGACCTGAAACCCTGGGCCATTGCTTCTTTCTTCTTTTTTTTTTTTTTTTTTTTTTTTGTGCGCTCGCACACACCTGGGATTAGCGCACCACGCACCTCGCAGCGTACTGCGCAGGGCACTTCACCTAGGATTAGCGCACCGTGCGCCTCGCAGTGTACTGTGCAGCGCACATCACCTACGCGCCGCAAGTATGGTGTACATTGATCATCACGCTGGGTTATGTTCAGGGGACGATGTTAGCCACACAAAGAACTAAAGCCATGAAAAGGTAGGTGGTACTTGGGAGTAGGCACAGCCACACTATACATACCTCAGCAAGTGGCATTGGAATGCTTAAGATTTGTGGATTTTCACGAATGGTCTCAAACATCAGCTCCACCTGCCGCATAACATACGTCCAACACATATGTACCACTTATTCAACTCGTACCCTCTTTGAGTGTGACTGTGCATTTCCTTTCAAAAAAAAAAAAAAATAATAAATAAAAATAAAAAAATTGAAAATTGAAAATTCATTATGTGACTACCATTTCACTGCACAGTTGTTATTGGCATACCGTCACATACCGTTGAAACATTTTTCCGCATTTAGCTCCACCTCCGACATAAGTCCAAAGAATGCACGGCACGGCAGTTACTCGGCACACACTCTGCAAGTCTATTTTGCGATTCGTCGCACAGGCACAGCTATTTGTCATACACTCTTAAACCACCACTACTCTCAAGTTTTCACCCTTCCCTTGCGAGCCTGGAAATGCCATGCGCACCTAGGGCTGAAAGAGTGGTCAGTGACCACTTGCCCGGCCGGACGAAAAAATAATAAAAAAACTAATAATAATAGAATTATTTCAAATTTGGTAAAGAATTTCGATGTGGCGCTGAGGCAGAAGTTATCCAGTGATTATTTATTTTTTTATTAAAAAAAAAAGCCAAAAAAAAGCAAAAGTTGTCCAGTTTATTCTTCTGCATAACACAATTTTTTTTCAGAACCGGCTTGGCAGCCCGGACAAACAAGGTGACCTGGGCGGCTCAGCTGGTAGCCTAGCTGCGCGCCAAAAAAAAAGGACTGGCGTGAGCCTACTTTAGGCTGGCGCTGCCGGTCAGTTTGCTCCGGTAGGTGAACCCCGAAACTTGGTGGTGCGGGTTAACGGCCGCATCAGAAAAGAATTGGCTCGGCCAAGTACTGGCAGTTTAACTTTTCAAAACCACCTCTACCTTTCACAGGCAAGCTCGAAACCTCCTAAGAATGCAATGTAACCAACCTATACCGCATTCTTCGGAGGTCGGGCACCACCGGACCAAAATGGCTGACAGCGCCAGCCAACTGAAAAAAGAATTAAGTGTGGTCCGATGGACCACGGATCAGATATTAAACTGATCAAAAGAAAATTCTCGTTGGTGCTTCAGCAAAGCTTGGCGCGCAGCTCTTTTCCACCTCAGCAAAACGACACTCAGGAGTCAGAAGTAGTGGATTAACGTTTTCTAAAACTCTTTTTTTTTTTCTTTTTTTTTTTCGGGTGGAGGTTTCAATTATTTGGCATACTGTCCCAAGTTATTCGGCATTAGCTCCACCTGCAACATACGTCGGACACATACAGAGCAGTTATTCGCCATTGAGCGAGATACAAAACGAAGAACCAAACCTGCAAAACTGTGCAGATTCATTCACCCCTCCAGAATATATGATAACCGAAAAGGGCTGGCTGAAACGATGACTGACTGCAATTCGCCTCACTGCACAAGAACTGCACACAGCTGGGATGATATGGCATTTTGCCTGTACAATTCAGGCACCTTTCCAAAAGGGGAGGGGGGGGGACTCAAAATTTATTCACCCTTGATAGGATCTGATAAGCAAATTTTATGGCACAGATTTCATTTCAACAATAACTGCACCGTCATACATCATCCCGACCATTGATTGCACGGACCATACGGAGATATTACGGACGACGCACACTGAATATGTTGTGAATCTCCAGATTGACACCGAGGCATTTGTGATAGCAAATAACATCTTCCATTTTCTGTTTTTGCCTTCTACACGGCCTTTTTCTTTTTGTTTCGACCAGTTCTTGATTTCCGAGTGTTGTTCTCGTGCAATGGGCCGACCATGCTAATCTTCTTCTCCGTATCATTCCAATTATAACGGATGTCACGGAGGACCCTTCAGCACTGGATGCGCTCAGTCACCTGGGTGACGATGCATGCAGTATTTCCGTCAAAATCACCACACATAGGGGGACCAGTTTTCCCCCCTCCCTCCCTCCCTCACTCGATTATAATTTATAACAGATCCCTGTGGCACTGGACGGGCCGGGTCACCTGGGTGGCGATGAATGCAGTATTTCCCTCAAAATCACCAGACATATGGGGACCAGTTTCCCTCCCTCCC